TAACATCACTGTTAGCTTCCATTTAGGGAGCTAGCCAGTAGTAACAGATAATTGGAGTGATTATGATGATTAAATAATTGGTTTGTTTGTGCAGATGTCCCTGCAGCAGGGGATGGACAGGAGACGAAGGAGGAGAGAGCAGCAGCAGAGTTGTACTCTGCAGTGTCACAACACACGGGAAGGTGAGTGTTTTTCAAACACCTGCTTAAAGCACATTAGCATGATTGTATTTTTACATACATATTTTTTATGGACATCAAAAAAAGAAAAAACTTTATGTTGCAAATGACAGTAAGATGTATTGACAGCCACTAAACTTAAGCAAAAACTGATCGCCTTTCTTAATGCTAATTTATAATTTAAATGTCTGCTATTAGTCACAAAAATGCATTTGTGGCAGGTGTCAGGAGGTTTTGATGTATTGGATAGTAAGACCGTCAGAGTTGGATAAATATTACCTGGTATGATGGGAACAAATACTTAGTTTCAGCAAATATTTTTCCAGGTTTCGTGTTTTTTCACGGCCTTTTTCATGGTAAATTCTCAGATATTTGACAGCTTATTTTGTGGTTTTCTCATCAGGCTCCTTCCAGATGTTTCTGGCAGCTCTTTAGTAGAAAGAGTGAAGACAGGAATTGCACCATTCTTGCGTTGTGCTGCTCTCTTTTTCAATTGCCTTACAGGAGTACCTCCTCCAGAGGAGCTTTTTAGCATTTCTGGTAGGTTTCACTGTAGTAGTGTCAGAATTTTATTGCATTTTGGAATTCAGAAGAGAAAGATTTGTGCATTCATGCTAACATTTTATGTCTTGTGCAGTTGATTCTCAAGAACAGATGGAGGCACTATGCAGTTACCTGGCACTACCCTCCAATGTGTTCCAGCTTTTCCACGATCACAGAGAAACTGTTAGTCCACTGCTTCAGAGGTCGGAGAAAACACTATTGCATCTTACACTAGTTCCCAGTGAAGTCAGTAGTTTTGTAACTTATTATTTCTTGTTATTTCTTAGGTGGTGTGGGAGCCCAGTTGTAACCAAAGCCCTGAAAGGCAAAATCCAGACAGTCAGGTAGACTTTGGGGCTTTTATTATTTCAACATAGATTTTAGTTTTATTGAAACCCTACAGTTGGCCAATAAACTCACTCTTTCAACAGATACCCCAGGAAAAGGAATCGATTGATCGAACTTCCTGAAGATTACAGTACTCTCCTCAATCAAGCCAGCCATTTCAAGTAAGTAAGGAGTCCTCTCCTTTGACATCTTCTAAGCTCTTCTGTCCATCCTTTCTCACTCGTCTGCATCATGTCCTCAGGTGTCCAAAATCCACCGATGATGAGAGGAAGCATCCGACTTTATGTCTCTTTTGTGGGGCTATGCTGTGCTCTCAGAGCTCCTGTTGTCTCAGTCAGCTGGAAGGGGAGGACGTGGGGGCTTGCACTGCCCACGCTGCGACCTGTGGAGCAGGAGTGGGGATGTTCCTCAGGTTAATCAGTCACACTGCACATTTTACAGTAGTAGAATTGTATTTAAGGCCCAGAATTAGTTTGTCTTTTGGGTTTACTTTTTTTTTTTTTTTTAAACTGAATCATGTTTTGTTTAATGATAACAGGATAAGAGAGTGTGAAATTGTGCTGATGGCCAGTCGGACTCGAGGGAGCACGTATCCCGCTCCGTACTTGGATGATTATGGGGAGACTGATCCTCACCTTGGGTAAGAACCTACTCAGTTTATTTGTAGTTTTACTTCTGTATTTTTAGACTTAAAAAACTCTACTATATAATACAGACTGGAGGATGTGCTCAAGGTCAGCTGTTTGGCTTTGTCAGACAATTTTTACAGCTTGTGCCATCTATGAAAAGGTAGATGGATGATGTTGCTTGTAGGGGCAATATACAGCAATGCTGTGGCTAATGTAATTGAAACTTTGGTGTCGCTTGTAGACTTGAATGTTGACGCTAAAACTGTTGCCATTGTAGACTACAAAAATGCATTTATTTGAGCTTTGTTGCAGATCTCAAATTTATAATTATGTGCTGATCAAAAATTGATCACCCTGATGAGCAACTTGCAGTTCAAGCTCAACACCTGGGCAGCTTTAACCTATAATACTACCTTCATGCACTTTCAGATTTGCATAAGCATTAAGTCTTTTTTATGACATAAAGAAGTGGTTTACACAGCTACAAAGTATGACCACATTTTTTTTGTCATACCAGTAAAATACTGGGTTTGAGAAACCCTTGAATGCATTTGTTTCTCTGTGTTTTAGACGGGGTAATCCGTTGCACCTTTGCCCAGAGCGTTACAGGAAGCTAAACCAGCTGTGGCAGCAGCACTGCATCCTGGAAGAAATCGCCCGCAGCCTGGAGGTGGTCAACGTTATGTTTGCTTTTGAGTGGCAGATGTTGTGATGACTGCTCCAGCTGTGTGACTGGCCGATACAGAACATGGCCCCTGTGCTCCCAAGACACATGCACGCACACGACACACACAAGCAATCAACCCTAACCCTTCTGTAATCAGAAAAGCCTGTTTCATCATAAATGAGTCTCCTTTGGAATCCAGAGAGAGTGGGGGGGGGGGCGCAGTCAAAATGGATAGAGGGTGATTGTTGTTGATTAATCCCAAGTCGCCTTGTTTCAGTTTGATTGTCTGCTGTGAGGATGAGTTTCTCCCAGAGTAATGTTATTTGCAAAGAAGCTCATTCAAATAAAGAAGAGCATCAGACACACACTAACACGTTTCTGTTATCACTTCATGTGTTTTTTTTTTTCTTAATGATGCTGTGAATTTTCTGCGTTCTCTCTCTTTGTGTTAGAACTTATGATTTGTGATAAGTTATAATTGTTCAAAGATGCGGTTTCCAAGTACATTCATGTGGGAAGGTTTAGCCTTTTTCGGAGATCCTATCCATTTTTGCCTTTGACCCTTTATTATGTAGAATTCCTCAGATAATTAAACCTTAACCTATTGACACCTTTACTTATAAATAGACACATGTATAATGGGCAAAACGTATATAGAATAAACATCATTTTCAAGATTTCTTCAAACAGATTGAGTATTCTCAGAAAAGTATACGGGAATCTGTCTCAGTGACTTCCTCATATCCTGTCCTTAGATGCACCAGTTTTCTGAATTTCAGCCATTCTTATAGTTACATAACTCTCACATCTGTGCTTACTTACCTTCAGAATTGTGAAATTAATTATATAGAAGGAATTCAAATACAATATGATATTGCAAGATCTCTTTTAGAAAAAAAGTTTTATTAAGCTTTATTAAGCTTGTAATCAAATATTATTGGATGACCTGTTGTGCGACACATTGTCAACCTTTATCATTTGATGTTGACTCTACATTATCTGAGTTTTAGTTGTCAATGATCAATTGCAGTGTTTTATTTAAAAGGAAAAAAATCTTTTTTAAAATCCCAGTGTATGGTTTCAGGTACTCCATTATATTTCTGTCATTTCACTTAGCAAATGTGTGAATATATAATTTCTTCCTTTTTTGTTGTTGTGTTGTTTGACTTCATGATTTCCAGGCTGTGGAAATAAAGACACAAGACAATCTGTAGGTAGTCTGTTCCATAGCTCTGAATGGGGTTTAAAAACAACAACAGACCCAACAACAGTAGTGTCCAAGATTAGAATAAATCATTGTAAAAAAGGAATGTGCTCTCGATTAACATTAACTGCTTTAAGCGGTTATTCTGCAGTTGCACTCGAATTGTTCATTCTTTTAAGAAAAGGACAACAAAAACGTATTCTTGCTGTAATAAGCGACTTCCCAGTTTTGTTTTTGGAGAAAGGTAGGAAGAGCAGATCACATCAGCAAGGCTTCTTTTCAGAATTCAGTCCTCAAGCGGACAGTTTATTGTTTTTGTAGCTCATCCCAGCAAAATTTCTATTTGAGCATTAAAACCTGGTGACATTGCTGAGGCACAAGATAATCGTAGCAGTGGCTTAAATATTCTAAAAATAAAAAAAAAGTAGTTAAGAATTTCTCATGGATTTCTGTCTGCTGAGCTACTTATGTGAAAACAGAAAGTACTGTTTAATATTCGCTATCCTTGTAACAACTTTGCTAATGCAGTTAGGCAACTCAGGGAAAAGGGCACACAAAAGATCCAATATTGGTACTACTAGTCTAAACACAAACTAATCACTACAGATCTTTAATTGTGAAATGTAATTTGTGAGCTTTCTTTTTTCTTGCTGTAAATCAAACGTCTGAGTGGGTTTTCTGGCATGCTCAGATGAAATCATGGGAAACAAGAACAGGTGCTTGAACTTCTAACCCATAGTTGTCTTCATCAAATAATAAATATAAGTACATTTTGATTCCAGTGTTGCAACTGACGGGTGTACAGAGTCTTTTTTGCAAAAACCACATGTTACACAGGCAACAGATGTCATTTGTAAACAGTAGATTAAAGCACAAGTAATCTTACAGAAAAATAATAGACATGTATGAAGACTGGTGACAAATTAAAGGAATTTAAAGTGAGGAAATGTGGTGGCTTTGTTATACTGAGGAGAACATTTGGTTAGCATGGTGTGGGTCCTGTGAACCCTTCAGAAAAGTTATGAGGATGGTTTTGGCCCAGTCCACATTATATGAGGGCTCAGTGAATGGATTGATTTGGGTGGAAATTATGTCACCAGGTCTCTATCAATTTTTTTTTTATATGACCACCATCATCGAAACACAAAATGAGGATATATGTTTTGGAATAAAGGTGTTCCACTCCTCCAACAGAGTTTCAGACACTTGCAAAATGAATGCAAAGGTACATTTAAGGTGTTCTGGTAGCATTTTGTCACTTATTCCTTGCAGTTATCAAATGCATTTACATTAATGGTGACTTAAATTATGGTGTTGATATTAAAATTCTATCATTTAGGGTTCATATATATTTTCCACAAACAAAATGCCCATTCCTTTGCCAAAGGTACAGAGATAAGAATTCACCAATGTAATGTGTGTACGTTTCAAGGCCCTTTGTGGGCTTCAGGAATGTCGTCCATTGAAGTCTTTTGAATGAAAAAGTTCAGCTGTCTTCAGTTATTTGCTTTGGTGGAACATTGTCAGGACCATAGTGTGCTTTTGAGGTGGAGGGGACGTTAATGTTGGGGTCTCCATTAGTGGCTGTGTCTATCTGGTTACCCTTGCCAAGGCTCTTGATGATATTCAGGTTCATGCGGGCAGTTTCCATGAAGCTGTTTTCCAGCAGCCAGCCATCTGATTCGGAGTTGGGGTCTCCCTGTCTCAGGACATTTTCCAGAGAAGTCTGGAGGTAACGAACCCCGGTCAACACTGATAGCTGAAACGACAAGAGACCCTTACTGACCGGCTCGCTCATAGAAATAAACACAAAGCATGATGCAAAGATGTTAAAGTGGCTGAAAAAGTTAATCAGATTTTGTGTAGTTTCCCTTTAAACCCACCAACTCTGACTTGTGTTTAGCCTCACCTCAAATAACCAGGTGATGAGGACTGTGAGGCCGATGGACTGCATAATGTGTATGTAGTACTCCAGCAGCGCCTGTCGACACCCTTTCATCCAAAGGTTTAGCTCCTCCGTCTGGTGCTCGTAGTTGAAGTGTGCAGAGTTGTTGGTGATCTGCTGCTGGATGCAGGGCCGGGGGGAGTTGATGTTGCAGCAGCTGAATGGGACTCCATCCAGTAGGTACTTTCCATCCACGTTACTCCTGATTCGGCTAAAGCGAGAAAAACAAAGTTTAGAATTTCCCATAATAGATCAGTGCTTCTGTGACCAGATTTTAAATGTGATGATGATTGTTTTGGGAGTATATTTTTTATATATTTAGACAGTATTTTATTATTATACTGTGCTGATCTGTGCTTCCTGCCATGCCCATTTTTTCTCCTGTTTTAATGGAACTGCAAGTGTTACTGAATATCTATAGCACAGTGTAAAAAATTATATATCAGTATCAAATATGATGCAGGGAAATTATAATGAACTAAAACTCAACTAAAAATTCAAACTAGAAGGGAAAAAACATTTTATTTGACTAAAATAAGGATAAAAACTAAGTGAAATGATTGTGAACTTGGAAAACTAACTAAAATGAAATGAAAAAACAGATGAACTATCCTTAGTTTTAATATATGTTAGCTTGGTAAAAAAAAATTTGTTTTGTGAGGTTTTAAAGGACACATTTATTTACTTACTTTAGGTGTCTACAAGATTGTGAGTCAGCCCCTATCAAAACGCTGATGCTAAACTGAATTAAAATGAGAAAATACAGAACTACAGCAACTCTGTTGTTTCTTTCTCTGTTTGCCATTTTAACACAGCCTCTTAAATACGAATGCACTTTACCAAAATAGCACCCTGCTTCTGCAGTTTGTACTTACTCCGCCACCTCTTTTTGGGACATATCCAGGTAACGGTTGCTTATCCACTGAATTTGAAACCAGTCCTTATAACCGTTGTTTCCACAGCACTGAAACTGCATCTGCAGCATGTCCATGGTGCGCTTTAGGAAGCAGCGTCCTGGTGTGTCTGTGTCCTTATAAAACCTCATGGCCTCTGTCAGTCCCAGGTTCAGAGACTCTTCCAGTTCCCAGTGCATGCAGTAACACATCAGAGCCCCTACCAGCACACAAAAGGTGAAGAAGAAGGTGCATATGATGTAGGGCAGCATGATCAACTTCCAGCGCAAAAACTTGGTGGTGTCCACACAGTCGTAGCAGATTTTCCCACCCAGGAAGTTTATGGCACAAGCGATGAGACCCACAGCTATAAGCGTGTTGGGAACATACTGGATGTCCCTCTCAGCCATCACCTCTCCTTGTTTATGGAGCTCCACCTTGAGGAAGAGGCCTAGGCTGAACAGGATGGCCCCCGTAACTACCGAGATCCAGTTTAGGATCCAGAGCACCTGGGCCAGCTTGTCTCTTTTGGTCTTGGTAAACTTAACTCTTAAGACTGCCATTGCCCGTAACACTTCCCTGAGTTTTCATTCAAGTCCAAGGTGGGATTAAGGGTAGGGCGCAGATAGAGCTGGAAAGAGGAACAGGTTATCTTCTAGGGGATGTGGAGGGACAAATAGAGGGGGTTTGGTTGTACAGTTCTCTGAAGCTCCTTTCATAAGCAGCTTAGCCTGGTAGCCGAGATTGATATCGTGTGGATGCTGCATTATGGTTGTACTGTAGGTGGTCTGTAAGCCTGTAGCAGTGAGAGTAGATAAAAAAATCTCATATAACTGGACAATTTCTAGAAAACAGAAACACTGTTAAGAAACACTGCGCTGAAATGTGATCATCTGTATGATAATATGATCAGAAATAGTAGGATTTATATATAACCAAAATATATTGAAGAAACTGAAACAACTCTTCCCTCCCTCTAAAATCCCAAATAAATCCACGGCACTCACCTAAGTGTGATCATGATGAACGTTTGATAACACTGCCCTTCTGATTTTCAGGTTGTTTTCTTACAAACATCCTCAGATTTAGTCCAGAGCGGCGAGTAGTTGTAGTGACACAGATAGCGTGAATGCAGCCACAGCAGCATCAGAGTGAGACTAGCAGCCAAGTCTTGCACCTCCTAATCCCCTTTAGTCATTAATCAGTCCTGGGCCCCATAAGGGATTTGGACCCACCTTCTGCCACCTATGCAAATCTGACTGTCTCGACACTGAAAGTAGTGGCCGATTGCCTTTCTCTCTCTCTCTCTCTCTCTCTGTGTGTGTAAAAGTTTTACAAAAGGATAAAGTTAAAAAAAAAATCATCTTTGCATCAGCAGTATTGCCCTAACTGCAAAGTTTAAGCCATCTTTTAATGATGCAGAAAAATAAACATACAGTCTTTGGTGGGGGGTTTTGTAATGAAGACTACATTAATAATGAATGCTTTAAAAAAAAAAAAAAGGTTTAAAACTGAAGCACATTGTGGTTGCAGTGCTCTCTAGTGGTAGAAACTTTGCAGTCAGGCTCCAGCTACTTTTATTATTTCATTTTGATTTGATTTTTCTATAAAATTCTTTGAAATATTTTGTTTTTTACCAGCTGGCAATCCAAAATGAAGACAAGTGCAAAAGACAATGACAAAACTATGCAGTGATCTGATAAGCATGTGGTACTTTTACCACTTTGCCAGTTAATAAAAACACTTCACTGGTCAGAAATGACAAAAACAAAAAAAGAAAAAATGGGAGTTTTCTTCTCTCTTTTACTTAAGACGTTCCCCGCCTGTAACACACACGCAAACACACCGATGCAGTCACGACTACTCTGCAAATCAGCCAATGAAATGTTAACTGAGAGTGAGCTTAGAGGATTAACGTGGACGAAAGTAGCTTGTGTAAGAAGAGAACGTTACTAGCGGGCCAGTCAGCAAATCCACAAGGCAGACAGAACTCACAGCAGTCACCACTACAGAGACCAAGAGGGAAGTTTCACTGACCCACAGCAGAAAACTAGACCACAGTCGTTCCACCGAGTAAGTATGTGAAGACCCAACAAATGCAAAATCATACTTACTAAAATCATCATGCTTCAGTCTGGTCTTCCTGATGTAAGTGTGGAAACACTTATATAAATGGATTTTCTAGCTTTAAGTGTACGTGCTATTTAACCACTTAAGCACATTACATGGGCTACAGTTGAAAGACCTGTGCAATGCAGTAGGTAAAGTAGTTGTTAGATGTTTTCAGTATACCCACTTTTTTGTGTGTGATCTCCCTTGTCTTGGTGTCGATACCACAAGCTCAGCGTGATGCTGGACACAGAGGGTCAGTGGTCTGAGGCATTGGCCAGCAATAACATAAAAGCCATCATCTGCTGGTTGAGGAGGCTTACAGCTGAAGGTAGAAAAGGAACATCCACTCATCGTGAAACCAGTGCTCTGTACAATTTTTTGCAAAGACCCTTTAATTCCACAGTTGTTTGTTGTTTCATTTAACACTGTATCTTCAACAAGGTTATACTGATGTGGGGGAAATCGCACCAGCATTTAGCTGCTGGGTACAGCGGACAGCAGAGTTTGCTAAAAAGGAGTTATTAACCTTATGTAAGTACATATTGCATCATATTTTCAGTCTTTCTAAATGTGCAAACTTAAATTTGAAGTTGAAGTTACTTTGAGTAACATATACTTTGGATCTTTGGATCTATTGTGTCTTAATTATTCCCTCAGGCTTCAGCTGTTGCCAGGGTCTGTGGATGTTCCTGGACCGCGGCTCCTTCACTAGAGTGCACACGTTACTCCAAAAATTAAGGAACCTGCTTACATTGGCCCAGTGGGGAAGAAAACATCTCTGCTCAGCCCACCTCTGGCATGGTTTGTGTTTAAGATATCCTAATCTTTAATGCTGTGACATGATAAAAGCCTTTCTGAAATGCAGTGTCTTCTTTATGCAGGAGTGGGAGTCCCATGTGTGGTCTGCAAGGACACATACAGCTCCTCAGACATCCGACATGGCTGCTGGAACAGAGAGCAGAGGATGCTGATGCAACACATCTGGCTGGGACAGCTGGTTCAGTGGTGGGGCATCATGGGGCTTCTGCCAAAGTTTCCTGGTATAGATATCATCACATCCCAATAAACTGGGATGAAGGACTTTTATTATACCTCTAAATCCTTTTGTTCTTAATGTTTGGTTCTCTGTTGTTTCTGTCAGAGACCCAAGAAGTGAAGCGTATCACTCAGATGTGGAAGGAAATGGATCACAGCCACCGAAAAGCTGGTCTTGAAACACAGGGGTAACTCTGAAAGGGTTTCATTTTAGAGCAAGTCTCTCTCTGAACATACTTTTTCAATTTCCTACCTGTTTTTCCCCTTTAACTTCCTTACCTTTTATTAGATGGGAGGAGGGAGAAATGGGAAGATTCAAGTCTTTGATACAGAGCATGGTGACACAGCTATGCGAACAACATGGGTGCATTTGGATGTCTGGAGATTGCACAGATCCACGTTATCCTCCCCCTAATCTGCAGGCGCTGTTGAAGCTCGTGCTGATCCCTCATATTGACAACATGTCAGTCCAGGCCATTGTATCCATCCAAATCAGCAAAGCTTTTCTGTGAAACATACTGATTTGTTGCTTCTCTATGTGCACTTACTTAAGGTTAAATGTGTCTTAACTTTTATGACACAGCTCATGTACTTCATCCTGGATGTGGCAAATTTCCTACAGTGCAAAGATGACCTCCTTCAGGCTTTTTGTCATGCGTTCACAATTCCATCCACCTTTTCCCAACAAATCAGAGCCTTCTGGATGCTTGATCATGGACACACTGAGGTATGCAGCTGAAAACGAAACATTAAAAAGATTAGTGTTGAAACGGCCAAAATGGCATGCAGGTAACTCAAATGAGATATGTGCATACTTTAAAGTGATTTAATAATTTGCAAATAATAAGTAATGAAAGGAGCTACAACATGTTTTTCTTTTAATTGATAAGAAATTTACTTAACAAAGTGCTGTGCACTATCTTACAACCAATCCCAGGCCTCCATGGAGCTGTTACTGAGCCCAAAGGCCTCTGTTCCTGCCCTCTCCTGGCAGCATCGTTGCATCATCCATTGTCTCCTGACAAGGAAACAGCCTCAAGAGGCATTACGGTACCTCCAGTGGTCCAGGCCTGCAGTAGAGACCACTGATGATGCCAAGCTGTTTGCAGATGTACTTATTCAAAGCAGGTACTATATGTTTGATAATATAATGTTATTAAATAAAAGCTCCCTTACAGACTCTATTTGTGCTTTCAACCCCCAGTTGTAACTCTGATGCTTGGGCTCTGTTGAAGAGAGGCCACACAGAGACTGAAGATATGAGCAAATACTTCCTCCAGACTTGTAAAGGAGTTGGCCTGTGCACCGAGGCTTTAAAGTACATTCTTGTTGAAAACAATGTGGGTGAATCACTCATTTACAGCAAGACAAAATGTACATACCAAGACAGCCTAGAAATGACTTTTAACTCTCCCTAAAAATCTTTATCAGAATGAAGAAGATGGAGCTGAGACCACAGAGATGACACAGATGAAGAAAGGTATGAAAGATATTATTAAACAGTGTTAGGATATAACTGAGATGTCATCTAATCACATTGTTTTGCAGAAATGCCTCTATGTCCGCTGTCTGCCAAGCTGTACCGGGCTCAGAAAGTTGGCAAAGTATCAACAGATGAGCAGGTGAAATTGGTCAGAAAGTCTGTGAAGGAAGCGAGGAAACCAGATTCCAAGTTGAGGTACTGAGGTTGTAGATGTCACACTTGGAGCAACTGCTTGAATTATGTTAAAACACAATACGCATTAGACACCAGATTTATGACGTGCACTCTCATTTCAGGGAGGTAGTGTGGCCAGAGCACACAGAGAGGAAGCCCAACAGCAAGCAAATGCTTCTGCCCACCGAGGCTCTGCGTCTACTCACATGCAGCTCTTTGCCAGTGCACATGGCAATAGAAACACAGCAAACAGCACATACAGCTGACCCAGAAGAAGAACATCCTGTCATTTACAATGTATATATTTTCATTGTCCTTGTTAATACTGGTTGCAATATACAATTGCAAAGGGATTTTAAGTGATGGCAACCCTTAGATTTTATTTTGTATTCGCAGCAGCAGCAGCAGCTGGAGACTCAAGAGAACATTTTTTCTTCTGAGGAGGATCTAAGATCCTTGACTTCCTCCTCCTCTACCTCAGCTTCACCCTTGCCTCTTATGAAGTGGGACCCGCTTCACACATATAAAAGGACTCTGACCCTGCAGATGATTTCCTCTCTGCTGACGGATAGAAGTAGCCAAAGCAGGGGACAAGAAGAAGAACACAGACCCCACTCATCAGCTGGTGTTTTCCTAAACATCCCTGAGCTTGTGCTGACACCAGATGGCGCTACAGAGCCTGTTTCCTTCAGCAGCTTGAACAAAGACAGCATGGTAGAGCTGACGCTTTCTGCAGACGGTAAGCTTCTTCTTGGATTCTCTGCACACACCATACATATTGAGAGATTCCCAAGAAATGGAAGCACTTTCTTACATTTTACAAGTGGGAGAAGGTGATGAAGCAGATGTTTTTCTGGAAGAAGATACTATCGGGGTTGACGGGCTTTCAAGATCTTCCACATATGAAAGCCTTCTTTCAGATGCAAGGTCAGAGGTCATCATAAATCTCACAATGCTTATGATAAAGTAAATTATTAAAACTGGTTGATATTTGGTGCAAGTTGAATTTCCAGTATGAATTTGACAACAATCAGGGCTGCCTGATAATTATATCTGGCTTAATTGTCATCCAGTGAGTGATCACATAATTAGCTGCTACACGAGATCATGAATATATCAGTCCTGGCCCCTCAAATGTCACTCAGCCGACCTTCTCCTTGCACTGATTTTCAGTTTCACTGAGGTAGCCCCAATTCACTGCGTCCAGAAAAAGAAACCTCATCAGGTAGGTAATAATTTTAATTTTAAAGTACATATCTAATTAGCAGCTGTGTTCTCTGTGAGTGTGTTTACACTGTATACTGTATGCCACCAGCAAGAGGAACCACAGGGATGCTCCAGCCAACACCTCCCATGTACCTCAGCTGAAACAACCCACGGCATGCTGACAGATCTTCATCAGAGCTTTGTTTTGAATTGGCCAGGGATGGGTGAGCAGGACAGCTCCCTCCTCTTCTCTGTGTGTAGCTCCACCTTTCTTTACACATCTGTGAACCCCAGCCCAACCTGCAACACTGAAACCACCTCGGTTTATTTGTGCACAAAGAATGAGCGCCTCCCTGAATCCATGTTAAGAACTAATGAATCCTCTCACTCAGCCTGTAGTGTTTCCAGGTGTCTCATAGCTGCTACAGAGCTAAGCTATTACAGCCGGTACATTTTGGATCACAAAAAGTCTAAACAAATAATAATATACCTCTAAAACTATGCACGAATCTATGCAGCCAATTGGTGCTCAGTGATCAGCAGAGATAACAAGACATGTTGCCTGCTCAACCTTTAGAGCTCTGAAAACAATCTTTTGCAGTGTGTGTGTGTGTGTGTGTGTGTGTGTGTGTGTGTTAAGAGCAGAACTAATTGTTTGTCAGAGGAGCTGCAGGGGTGCAAGATGCAGGCACCAAAAGCAGGGGGGCTTGGCTGCTAGGAGAGGGAGATTGGAGAGGAAGTGAGGTGTCAGAGATTGGTTCCCTTAACCTTGCTGCAGCATTCAGTGATCCATTAAACAGCATCCCCCTCCCTCCCTCCCCCACGTTTTCTGTCAAAGGGTGTACCGTCTACCACCGCAGGCAGACCTCCCTCCATCTGCTGATCACCGTTGAGCCTCAGGGAGCGATGGCCTGTTGGCCCGTACCGATGCCCCAACCTTGTCGCAGAGACAGCGGTTAAAGACGTAACAGTGGAGCAGTGTTGCATAAAAGATAATAGTGTCCGACTTGTTGTTACCAAGATCCCCATTTATGTGATGTGTTCATCACTGGATTATGACTTTCCAACAGAAAACAATATTTATAACATTTCTGTTCATTTGCAGATGACAAGGGACTTTCTCTTGTTCTAGGGCAGCCTTATTCCTGTGGACTCGTCAATTTTTTGGACTTCACTGCAAAGCAAAAGGGAGAAAACAGAGATGGAAATCAGGTACTTTGTTCTGACACACACCGTAAAATGTACAACATGTGTTATGATGAGTCTATTATGCATTCATCACAAAATTGTCAATAGGGGTCACTATTGTTCCAGTTAAGATGCTCAATAATATTTGGATGATCTCATTTTTAGTCCCGGAGGATTTCACTTCATCACATCACAGCCTGGCAGGTCCCCTCTTTAGTACCTTTCATCCACATTTCTCCCGTCCCTCCGCATAAACATCACTGCTTTTAAGACCTCCGCCTACAATGATGTCATTGTCCAAAATCACGTAAGGAGGATGCCTGATTTTTATGGGGAATTTTTCTCCCATAACATCCACGAGATGCCGGGAACATGGTTACCATTTATTTGTCAAAAACAAAGTGGCCACTGCTCTGTAACACATTTCCTTCCATTTAAATGCTGCTTGTGCGTTGACCTGAGTGTTACACTTCTAATAGCACTGTGCAGATATGACCACATAATTATTTTACAGAGGTTCCATTGGATAATTGTTTAATTGGGATGTAGTCACCTAATTATTTTGCTCTGAACTAGGGACCATATGGCGCTTGGCAGGTGAAACGCAATTAGGCCATGCTAATTTATGATGATTATACCTGAGCATGACTGAACAGCCTATACTGTACAAAAATGTGTCTATCAGGGCCAATCTATTTTAGTTGTAGAGTGCATGTTTGGAGTGATGGCATTACATTCATTACCCTGCAGTTTCTGTGTAAGCGCGGGTTTCCAGGGGGTTGTTTAGTAGGAAGGGCTGTTAATGTTACCTAATTGTTCACCGAGGCCAGAAACAATACTTGTAGGATTTGCTTAATTGGCAGATAGAGAGATTAATCACTAATGAGTGAAATTAGTTGAAGACAAACACTTAACGACTGATCAAACTATCATGTTCTTTGTGCCAGTGCGACTAAAGATAATAATAAAATCGGGATATTAAGCAGTTATTAGTTCAAACTATAAATTTGGATTTGGCCCCACATGACCTCAAGCATGACTGTTCGTGATGATTACTGGCACAGTTATAAATGAGATTTTCACCATGCGGAGCAAACAAAGTCATCCATCAAATCTTAGGAGCCCACTAAGAAATCGCGGCCGCTTAAAAAGATATCACAAAATTAAATACTATCGACTTTGCTGTCTTTATGAAAACACCAATATTTGCACAGAGAGAGGCGGGGAGCGTTTGTGTGGGGTGATGTTGCATGTTGAAACGTTCATGATTCAAGGGGAGATGAATGGCCACTATTAGGAGCATTTAATCAGTAGCTGGCCCAGTGCTCCCAGTCTCCTGCACCCCCTGGGGAAAGATTAATGGGTACAGGATATTTCATCAGGTCCTCCACATCACTGCTCAGGATGTGAGGCTGTAATTGCGTCTGTTTTTGCTGTTGTTTCGTGTTGCAGGCGGAGAAAGATGAGCCCGCAGGTTGGAGCAGTTCGGGGAAGGTTTCCCAAGGAGCCATAAGGAGTGGCAGAGCAGGATCGAGAAAAGGCAAACGAGTGAAGAGAGCATGATCATCTGCAAGACAAAGAACAGCCTCTTATGTGATGCATTTTAAATATATTTAAATTAAAATCTAAAGGAAAAAAAAATCACTCCAATGTTAAAGTTTACCACAAAGAGTGTTAACCTCCACCAGATTCATCCTCCAATCACCTGGTCAGATACTTTTGACAGCCTTTGTTCCCACCCAGTGATACTGTCCCACCTCACCCTTAATCTTCTGCTGTAATGTGTCAGCAATACTCAGTAATTGATGAGACATGAATTCTTAAATATTGCTATGAACTAAGACTCGAGTAAAGAGTAGTAAGTCTGAGTTACATTATGTCTTTTTTGACTTTCCTCTGACGAACATAACAACGTTGCGTGTTTCGATTCAGGTATAGATGCACTACATTTAAAATGCACTTGTGATGTCCTTGAAAATGATTGTGCACTTTAGATTCTTCACCGGTTTCCTCCTCTTGGAAAAAAAAGGGATGTTTGCTTTGCTGCCATTGCATCTCATGAAAAATGGATGACCTCCCAAGGTTTTCTTCTGCCCATTGCTCTTCATATTTGCACAAAGCCCAGGGACTGCATTTGGGTTAGCATCCTCCCTCCCTCCATCCTCCCTCCTTCTTTTTCTCCCTCTGTGGTTTGTTCGCGGGGTGAATAACTTAACACATATTTCAGCTTGACACACTTCTGCTCCGGGTTTCCCCTGGGTGCCCAGTTCACGAGCCCACACATGCTGTATTATTTAAAAGTGGGGTTTGGAGTTCTGTGCGTGTAATCTCCTCTTTGTGTAAGGGCCGGGGGACTGCCTTATGAAGTTGTTCGGCTTTTCCTTATGACCTTGTATTTGTGACTAGATGATATTTCAAGTGTAGCCAAAAGACACCAGAAGCATATCAGCACAGTTATGTTTTTTGGCAATATAATCTTTTTTTTTTTTTTGTAAAAGAAGAAAAACACATCTCACAAACAGCACAGTCTGTATCATAGCAAAAATGGTGTACAGTACAAAATGATGGATTACAGGAAATAGAAATCTGGACAATATATCATGAGCACAAGAATAAAAATCGAACGCAGCAAAAATGCACGAGGAGGATAATAAATAATACCTAATGACGCTAAAAAGCAAACCGTCTCAAAGTCTTGGAGTGAAATCAGCTTCCAGCTCAACACACACACACACACATACACACTAACTCAAGCTAATCTAAAAGCTGATACCATCATGGAAATCAGAGTGCGGTGGCGAAAATGACACATAAATCATGTGCCGGCAGATGATGCAAAAAAACCCTGCGGTTTGCAAGATGGATACAAATAGCCACATGATGTGTGGAAAGCTCTCATATAAATACTTGTCATTGTGTTGCGATGACTGTTGTGGTGAAAAATGCAGGATTATTAATCTCCTAAACGAAAACGTCTTAATAGGAACCTCTGATGGTGATGCTGTGCACCCAGAATACACAATCCACAGTGGATTTTCCAAACACACTTCGATGTTTGGAATTTTTAATGTTCTTGAGTGTAAAAGCTATTCCACATTTTTCATCTCTGTATTCTACAACATCACATTCCCATTCACCAGGTTTGGCCTTGCGTGAAGGCCAGTGATCATACTGTCAGCATGAAACATTCAGACCTTGGTGCAACATGGCAGCAGGTGTTTTGCCCACTGGAGGGCACTGTGAGCAGTGCAAAAGCTAGGTGGCCAAGAAAAGGGTGAGACACCTTGGCCAGCTCACCAGATGGGCTCACTGAAGCGTGTCAAATGGCTGTGACAGCTACCTGTCCTTCCTTAAGGACTGTCACCATGTATAAACAAACCATTACTCTAATTTGTGAGTATACACTTATGTGTGTGCAAAATGTGTGCTTGTGCCCAAGGAGATGATTATGCTGAACCTTTTTAGAGTTGCCCCTTTAATATCTAGTATATACAGGAAAATGTTCATAGTAGTATTATTATCAGTAAGTTTTTGGTATAGTTATATATTTTACAGTTTTAGCAGTTCAATGTAAGTCTTTGGAAATCGTGCTGTGCAGCAAATGATGTAGAACTTTAGTTTATGTTGTGGAGGTCACAGAGTTTATAATATTGGGGAAATGTGTAGCAAAAACTAAAATAGTGCCATCAAGGGGCATTTTTAACTGTATCTAGCTTCAGTAAAAATATTGGAGATTGTAAAAATGAAAGGGGTGTCAATACAAGAACTTATACATTATTATTTCTACCTACGGCGGAGAGAAAATTATTATCTTGGTCACTAAAAATATCATAACTAACTGTAATATACGTACGCCACTGCGAATGGGTATATTAGTGAAGAGGAATGTCTCCACAGCTTGGACGTAGATAAGATGGAGAGCCCTGAAGGCCTCTGCCTGCTCATTAATTTGCAGCAAAGCAACGTCGGATGCTGCGCCTCCGCTCGTCAGTCTCCACTGCGCAGCCGCAGTTGCTCCAGGACGCTGAGTGCAGAGCAGGGAAGACAGAAAAATGGCCCTCGACAATTTGATTTTCGCCCAGTGCATCCTTTATTTTTTAGCTTTCGTTTTCGGTTTTATCGCCGTGGTGCCTCTGTCTGAAAACACGGAGGATTTCGGGGGGAAATGCCTGCTGTTCACGCGGGGTATGTGGCAAAATGAAAACATCACTGTGATGAAGCAGCGCTTCATCGTGGAGGAGTGGGGACCCGAGTCCTCCTGCAGCTTCATCACTTTTGTCGGGATAGCGTCCCTCATCCTGTCCGCAGTGCAGGCTTGGAGGCTGCTGTTCTTTCTGTGCAAAGGACACGACGAGTGAGTGACCGTTCACTTGTGTCTCTTCCTTAAATAGAAGCTCATTCGAAAGCTTATGAAGCAATACCACTCCAGCGGTCTGAGT